CCACCACATCAAAAACATTACTAGAACTGCCTTCTTCCACCTGCATAATATCACTAAAATTAAAAACGTCTAAAAATGATGCAGAAAAACTGGTTCATGCATTTGTCACGTCTAGACTGGACTATTGCAATGGTTTATTATCTGGGTGTCCAAATACTTCTTTAAAACATCTTCAGTTGATCCAAAATGCTGCTGCCAGAGTCTTAACTGGAGTGAGAGATTGAATGGTTGTTTGTCTCGTTTGTCTCTATGTGTCCCTGTGATGGACTTGTGACCCGTCCAGGGTGTACCCCGCCCCTCACACAGTGATTGCTGGACATGGGCACCGGCGACCCCCATGACCCAAAATGGAATAAGCGGGTAAAGATAATGGATGGACAAAACAGGTTGAGCAGAGTAAGTAAAGACAGTAGCAGAGTGAAAATTGTGGTCAGTTTGTCCTCCAGCAGTCTAAGCCTATTGCAGCATAACTAAGGGACAGCTCAGGAAACCAAAGCCGACCCTAACTATAGGATTTAACAAAAGGAAAGTCTTAAGCCTCGTTTTAAAACTGGATGTGTCAGCCTCACAGACAGAGATTGGAAGCTGGTTCCACAAGAGAGGAGCCTGATAACTGAAAGATCTGCCTCCCATTATGTTTTTGTAAATTCTAGGAACCGCAAGTAAACCTGCAGCCTGAGAGCAAAGTGCTCTGTTAGGAAAATATGGAACAATAAGATCTGTAATATAAGATGGAGCTAGGTTGTTGAGAGCTTTGTAGGTTAGAAGTAAGATTTTGAATTCTATTCTGAATTTGACAGGGAGCCAATGGAGAGAAGCTAAAACTGGAGAAATATGATCTCTCCCACTAACTTTTAAAAGGGAGTTTTTCCTTTCCACTGTTGCTACTGTGCTTGCTCAGGATGGGAGACTGTAATGAAGCCAAGATTCAACTTGTCTGCTGGATTCCTTAGATAGAGAACTTTACTAATTGGCTTTTATGTATGTGAATGTTTCTGTAAAGTCCCCTGAGACAACTTTGTTGTGAATTGGCGCTGTATAAATAAACTAAATTGAATTGAATATATACAGTGCCTTGTGAAAGTATTCAGCCCCCTTGAACTTTTCAATCTTTTGCCACATTTCAGGCTTCAAACATAAAGATATCAAATTTAAATTTTTTGTGAAGAATCAACAACAAGTGGGACACAATCGTGAAGTGGAGTGAAATTTATTGGATATGTCAAACTTTTTTAACAAATAAAAAACTGAAAAGTGGGGCGTGAAATATTATTCGGCCCCTTTACTTTCAGTGCAGCAAACTCACTCCAGAAGTTCAGTGAGGATCTATGAATGATCCAATGTTGTCCCAAATGACTGATGATGATAAATAGAATCCACCTGTGTGTAATCAAGTCTCCATATAAATGCACCTGCTCTGTGATAGTCTCAGGGTTCTGTTCAAAACGCAGAGAGCATCATGAAGACCAAGGAACACACCAGGCAGGTCCGAGATACTGTTGTGGAGAAGTTTAAAGCCGGATTTGGATACAAAAAGATTTCCCAAGCTTTAAACATCCCAAGGAGCACTGTGCAAGCAATCATATTGAAATGGAAGGAGTACCAGACCACTGCAAATCTACCAAGACCCGGCCGTCCCTCTAAACTTTCATCTCCAACAAGGAGAAGACTGATCAGAGATGCAGCCAAGAGGCCCATGATCACTCTGGATGAACTGCAGAGATCTACAGCTGAGGTGGGAGAGTCTGTTCATAGGACAACAATCAGTTGTACACTGCACAAATCTGGCCTTTAAGGAAGAGTGGCAAGAAGAAAGCCATTTCTCAAAGATATTCATAAAAAGTGTTGTTTAAAGTTTGCAACAAGCACCTGGGAGACACACCAAACATGTGGAAGAAGGTGCTCTGCTCACATGAAACCAAAATCAAACTGTTTGGCCACAATGCAAAACAATATGATTGGTGTAAAAGCAACACAGCTCATCACCCTGAACTCACCATCCCCACTGTCAAACATGGTGGTGGCAGCATCATGGTTTGGGCCTGCTTTTCGTCAGCAGGGACAGGGAAGATGGTCAGAATTGATGGGAAGATGGATGGAGCCAAATACAGGACCATTCTGGAAGGAAACCTGTTTGAGTCTGCAAGAGACCTGAGACTGGGACAGAGATTTATCTTCCAACAAGACAATGATCCAAAACATAAAGCCAAATCTACAATGGAATGGTTCACAAATAAACGTATCCAGGTGTTGGAATGACCAAGTCAAAGTCCAGACCTGAATCCAATCGAGAATCTGTGGAAAGAGCTGAAGACTGCTGTTCACAAACGCTCTCCATCCAACCTCACTGAGCTCGAGCTGTTTTGCAGAAAGAATGGGCAAGAATTTCAGTGTCTCCAGTGCAAAACTGATAGAGACAAACCCCAAGAGACTTGCAGCTGGAACTGCAGCAAGAGGCGGAGCTACAAAGTATTACCGCAAGGGGGCCGAATAATATTGCATGCCCCACTTTTCAGTTTTTTTATTTGTTAAAAAAGTTTGACACATCCAATAAATTTAATTCCACTTCATGATTGTGTCCCACTTGTTGTTGATTCTTCACAAAAAATTAAAATTTTATATCTTTATGTTTGAAGCCTGAAATGTTGCAATAGGTTGAAAAGTTCAAGGGGGCTGAATACTTTCACAAGGCACTGTGTGGAGCTACTCCTTCGGAAAACACGTCACTAAAACGCCATGAAATAAGATTTTTAAAATGTCTCTTTTTTTTACTGTTTCTTTTAGTTATTATGCATTTATTAATAATCATCTCCATCGTCTACCACTTATCTGTAGTCAGGCTGCAGTGACAACGGGTCCAGGCGAAAAACTCCGACTTCCCTCTCCTCCGTGACTGTCCAGCTTGTTCTGCGGGGACCCCGAGGCGTTCGAAGTCCAGAGACGAAACACAATCACCCCAGCAAGTTCTGGGTCTTCCCCCGGGACCTCCTATCCATGTGAGGCCTCGTGAAGTGTCCAGGAGGCCTCCTAGAGGAGGCATCCTATCAGATGCCTGAACCACATCAACACTCACAGGATGTGGAGGAGCAGCGGCTCTACTCTAAGCTCCCCATGGATGATGGAGGTGTTCACCCTTTCTTTAAGGCTGAACACTGCCACCCTGTGATGAAAGCTCACTTTAGCCGCTTGTATCTAGGATCTCGTTCTTTTGGTCATGATCCAAATCTCATGACCACAGGTGAGTCTAAACAGACAGACCAGTAAATTAAGAGCTTTTGACTAATATTTTTCTTAACCTTGATTGACCAAAGCAACGCCCTCATTACTGACGAGACCCAAATTTGTCGATCCATCTCCATCCTAACATCACGCCACCTTATAAAAAAGCATCATATGAGGGCTTATTCATAAGTTAGCAGTCCGTTACACAAATAAATGGATTTATTTGACAAACTCAAACTGCAGCCTGATTAGAAAGCTGTTTAGAAGACTTTATTCTTTGCTTTCATTAGTAGAACAACTCTGAGGTCCAGACGTCACAAAGTAAACATGTTTTCTGTGGCTAAACATCATTTCAAAGGCAGCATTAGCACAATATCCTCTCATGGAATCATCTGAAAACAGTTCAGAGAACGCAGTCATTTCTGTAGATGTGTGATCTTTACGAGGGGTTGACACAACTGTAATCTGAATGGAAACAGACGTAAGAATTCACCCTTTGAAAAGTCCACTACAGAAGGAGAGGCTTGAATATTACAACGAAGGGTCGGACAGACTCTTCAAACTGCAGTCAAACCACTACATACTGTGTTGGAGCGGTCTGCGATCACAGTGAGGCCCCTTCACAGAGGATGATGACCCTGCTATGCTTTCCACAAAATACATGGCCCAGTAGGACATTGTTGGACTGTGGAAAATTTGTGTGAATCAAGATTCTGCTATGCTCTTCGTGCTTACTGAATGACTGCTGTTTTCCACATGAAGCTCCAACGCACTCGCCTCGCTTCCATCTGCTCATCCTGCACCACTTTCTTGGGCCAGGTATTCACAGGTACCACGTCTGTGCCAGGTTTCTATGAAGAAGCTGGGTGACAGCTTATTGCCTAGTCTTTAACTGTGTCACGATCACAGTTGTAGTCTTGAGGACCAAGTCTCACCGGTGCATGGGGGCACCACATCATGAATACAGCTCCACAAAAACAAACCACCACAACCGTATGGAAGCTTTATGCATTCTCAAAAGCACTGGGGAACAATCGGCCTCTATCTGATATGAGAGCACAGTTTTCTTAGATTGCACAAAAAGACCATCCATGTTCTGGTTGATGATTTAGGTCATAGCAGGTTCATCATCCAGTGAGAACGTGGCCTAATACTTGGAACACGTGAACATCACACAGCTCGTGACTTCAGGCTTCAGTTGCCTCCACAAAGTGCTCGTCAGATCATTTAACTGTGCGTCAAACATACCAGCTGACAGCAACATCAGCTGGCACTTCTGATTATTTTTGCCAGTTTTAAACGATATGCATAAAAATGCATGTTAACACTGAGGAACCCTACAGCACCCTAAGGTTCTGCTGCTCTGTTCTGGCGTCGTTCCACCAGCACCGGTCTAGCCCTTGAAAATGTTTCCAAGGTACAGCCCTTAAACTGCTCAATACTTTGTTTCTCTGGAGACGTCATCGTGCTCCGACAGCCTTTACAGTTTTAGAGCGAGTGAAGCAGGAACAGCTCTCGATCCACTCAGGACCCATTCATTAGTCCAGGTTAGTTATCCATCTTTAACATTTTCAATGGATTTTTATTTGTTTCATAAACAAAATGATGAAATTCTTTGCAACATTTTGGCATAATTCCAACGTTGTTTTTGTCCACACATAAACCAGTCTCAGAGCTGACCTTTTTAGTGTGAAACTGTGAAGTTCTTTGTTTGATGATTACCTTTTCCAGGGGCCACCGATGATTAAGCATACAACTGCTTGTTTAGGCCTGACCTGGTTCTGAATAAATGAAATGGGTTTTTAAGTCCAAAGTCACCGCCATTGTCTTACGTAACATATTCTTCGTCGTCGCTGCGTTCCGATTTGATGTGGTCTGGATGAAGGAGTGGGAAATGTGGCGCTGTAGTCCTGGTGCACACGTACCACTCCTTAATGTTAGACAGCTGAGTTAAGGCTGGGTTGACCGAGCGCTGGCTCCTCCGCGGGGTTCTGCCACCCTGCTGCTTCTGAGTTAGTTGATTCTTCAGGCCCGACAGAGAGAGATCAAGAGGCATCGCCATCGGAGACGAACTCCTCAGCAACACCTTACTGCCCACTTCGCTGGCAGAGCTGATGCTCAGTTCATGAGGAGACAGGAGAGGAAAATGAACGTTTTTGCTGACGAGCGATGAAGAGAAGTGGTTCATTTTAAGGTCAAGGGGTTCGAGAACGGGTTGCTGGAGTTGGTGACGGCTGAAGCTGTACAGGTCCTGGGGGTCAGAGGTAGGCGACGACTTGATGTGGATCTTCATGTGTTTCCTCAGGGAGCTGGGGTGTGTGTAAGACTTGGTGCAGCCCAGAGCCTTGCAGTCGTAAGGCTTGGAGGCCGTGTGAACCTGCGAGTGCTTCTTCCGGTCGCTGCTGTTGGCGAAGCGGCGCTCACAAAACTCACACTGGAACGGCTTCTCGCCTGTAAAACAAACAAAGCCACCACAAAAACAAGTCACAAAGAAAGCTTCACCGAACGTTGCTGCGTCACAAAACATGTTTTTAACGTTTGCACGACGAGATAAACTCAGATTAATGAAGTCCATGGAAACCTGAATGTCACCTGATTCTACTGCGGAGAATAACGTTTATATGAAACCTTTAGGAACACTCGACTCTTGCATCATCTTTTGGAGAAAAATCAGCCACATTTATTTTTGATTGTGCTTTTACTCATTAATTTATTTTGTGCATCAATAAACATGATTTTATCATAAAAAGACTAATACTACTTAAGATTTTTTTAAATTGTCATGTTTTTCAAATGCTCTCATAAGCTCACAGTAATTCACTACACTCGTGTTCCTGAGGGGAGAATCAGACACATTAGAATACAATGTAAAAACAAATTATAAGCCGATAATTATTTATTTATTTAAAGGGTTAAGAGTTAGAATTTGTCATTCTAGCATCTTCAAAACATATTTTACAATCATTATCCATCTATCCATTATCTTTTACCCGCTTCTTCCATTTCAGGTCATGGGGGTCACTGGTGCCGTTGTCCTGCAGTCACTGTTGGAGAGACGGGGGACACCCTGGACAGGTCTCCAGTCCATCACAGGGACATATAGAGACAAACAACCATTCACTCTCTCACCTAGGGGCAATTTAGAGTTACCAATCAGTCTAACATGCATGTTTTTAGTCTGTGGGAGGAAACTGGAGTACATGGAGAAAACCCACGCATGCACGGAGAGAACATGCAAACTCCACCCGGAAAGGTCCCCGGACTGGGATTTGAACCAAGGACCTGCTCACTGAGTGGCAGCAGCTCTACCAGTTGCACCACCATGCTGCCCTACAATAATTATCATTATGTGATATTAAAATGAGACTTTTTACAGTCTAACAAACAAACTCCAACATCTGAGTGAAATACAAAATCTGTGAAATGAAGTGGAATGAATGAACCAAGTTCATGTGATGGACTGGAGACATGTGTCCATGTGATGGACTGGAGACATGT